TGGGGGTGCGAGGGGTATTGGGGATGCTGGGGGGTACTGGGGATACTGGAGGCACTGGGGATACTGGAGATACTGGGGGGTATTGGGGATAGTGGAGGCACTGGGGGTGCTGGTGGTATTGGGTGTACTGGGAGTGCTGAGAGTACTGGAGACACTGGGAATACAGGATATATTGGAGATACTGGGGGTATTAGGGATACTGGGGGTACTGGAGGCACTGGGGATGCTGGGGGGTATTGGGGATTATGGGGCTACTGGAAGCACTGAGGGTGCTGGGGGTGCTGAGGATACTGGGGGGTAAGGAGGATATCGGGGATACTGCGGAGTACTGGGGGTACCAGGGGTACTGGGAGGTACCAGGAGTACTGGGGATACTAGGGAGTATTGGGGATACTGGGGTTCCTGTGGTGCTGCGATGGGGTCCCTTAAGGGATCCCAGACCCCCCTACTGGGATCTGGGTCCCTGTTTATGGGATCTGGGGGTCTCTTAAGGGATCCAGCCCCCCTAATGCATCCAAGACCCCCGTGACCGGACCCAGACCCTCCCTCAATGGGATCCAGGATTCTCCCAAGGGGATCTGGGACCCTCCTAACGGGATCCTGGACCCCCCAATGGAGCCGGGAGCCCCTTAATGGAGCCGGGACCACCCTAATGGGACCTGGGACCCCCTCGATAGACCTCCTAATGGGATCTCCTAATGGGATCTCCTAATGGGATCTGAAACACCCCTTTAATAGACCTGGGAGCCCCTTTATGGGATCCAGGATCTCCTTAATGGATCGTGGATCTCTCTAATGGATTCAGGAACTCCTTAATGGGTCCAGGATCCCCCCTTAATGGGGTCCAGAACCCCCCTCATGGATCCAGAACCCTCTAATGGATCTGGGACCACCCTACTGGGATCCGAGACATCCCCTTAATAGACCCGAAAGTCCCTTATGGGATCCAAGACTCTCCCAAGGGAATTGGGAGCCCCCTAATGGGATCTGGGACCCTCCTAGGGGAATCTGGGACCCCCCTAATAGGATCCAGGACCCCCCTAATGAGATGTGGGATCTTCCTAGTTCCCTCCCCCCGGTGCGATCTGGGTCCCCCTAACGTGATCCAAGATCCTCCTAATGGATCTGGGAACCCACTAATTGGATCTGGGACCCTCCTGGTGGAATCTGGGACCCTCCTAGTGGGACCCAGGATCCCCTAATGGGATCCGGGACTCCCCTAATGGGATCTGGGCCCCCCGCAAGGCACCGTGGTTCCCCCTAAGGGGATCTGGGACCCTCCTAGTGGGATCCAAGACCCTCCTAACGGGACCCGGGACCCCCCAATGGGACCTGGACCCCCCTAGTGGGATGTGGGACCCCCCCTAATGGGATTTGGGCCCCCTCCAACAGTGTCTAGGCCCCCTGCAATGCACCGCGGACCCCCCTAAGGGGATCTGGGACCCTCCTAGCGGGATCCGAGACCCCCCTAACAGGACCCGGGACCCCCCAATGGGATCTGAGACCCCCCTAATGGGATCTGAGCCCCCCTAATGGGCTGTGGGACCCCCCTAATGGGCTGTGGGACCCCCCCGCACCTGCCCTGCTGCTCGGGGTACTTCTGCTTGCAGTAGGACTCGAGCGACGCGTAGACCTTCTCGCGGAGCAGCTCCACCTCGCCGGGGTTCGAGAGACCCTTGGCGTCTGCGGGGGGACACGGGGGGGACACGGGGGGTGTCACTGGGGCGGGGGGGGCGCGGGGACCCCCCCCCGGGGCGCCCGTCGACCCACCGGGGTTGAAGAGGATGATGGCGCGAAGGCAGCCCAGCTCCGTCTTGTCCATGCGCATGTCCCGCATCTTGGAGACGAGCTCCGTGAGCACCCTGCGGCGGCGGGACAACGGGAGAAACGGGGGGAAAATGTGAAAAATGGGGGCAAAGCGGGGAGGAAATGGGGGGAAAATGGGAGAAATGGGGGGAAAATAGGAGAAATGGGAAAACGGGGAAAACGTGAAAAAGAAAATTAGGAAAGTGGGAAAAAAACAGGAAAAGTGGGGAAAATGAAAGGAAACGGAAAGAAAAGAGAAGAAGCTGGAAAAATGAGGGAGAAAAAAATGAGGAGAGAGTGCGGAAAAATAATGGGAAATGAAAAACAAGAGGAAAAAAATACGGAAAAACGGAGGAAGATGGGCAGAAAGAGGGCAAAAATGGTGAAATAGGGTAAAGGCGGGAAAAAAAGGGAAAAAACAGGTAAAGCAGGAAAAAAGTGGGGGAAGTGGGGAAAAAACAGGGAAAAGCGGGAAAAAATGGAGGAAAGCGGGGGAAGAATGGGAAAGCGGGAAAAAATCAGGAGAAAGCTGGAAAAAAACGGGGAAAAACAGGGAAAAGTGGGGAAAAGACGGGATGAAGGAAAAATGGGGAAGAGCAGGGTAAAGCTGGGGAAAAGCTAGGAAAAATTGGGAAAAAAGGGAAAAATGAGGGAGAAATGGGGAAAAGTGGGGAAAAGACAGGGAAAACTGGGGAAAAAGTGGAGAAAAGACGGGGAAAAGCAGGGAAAACATGGGGAAAACAGGGAAAAAGGGAAAAACGGGGAAAAACAGGGAAATGGGGGAAAAGCGGGGAAAAAAGGGGGAAATGGGGGAAAAAAATAGGGAAAAGCGGGGAAAACGGGGGGAAGGCGGGGAAGGGGGTGGTTGTGGGTCGGGGTCCCGCGGGACCTGTCGAAGATGGCGCCGACGCCGGCGCTGTGGGCGCTGTTGCGGTGCACGTGCAGCCCCGTGGCCAGCAGGATGCCGTCCTTGACCGAGATGGAGCGGTGCGAGAAGGACGCGATGAGCAGCTCGTTCCAGCCTGCCGAGAGCCGGGGGGGGGCGCTCAGGGACCCCCCATTGCGAGGGGGACCCCCCCAAACGCCCAAAATTCCCTTTCCATAGGGAGGGAGTTCTATAGATTCCCGCCCGTGTCGCAGTCGTCGTCTGGACGCCCMGGATGAGGCTATAAGCTTAATGTTTTGGTACTTGTTACCTCCCAAATACCCCCAAAACACCTCAAAAACGCCCAAACGCCCCCAAACTGCTCTTAATTCCCTCCCAAATGTCCCCAAAACACCCCAAAAGGCCCCCAAATGTCCCCAAATATTCCTCCAAACCACTCTCCTAAACACCCCAAAATATCCCCAAAATACCCACAATAGACCCCCCCAAATCCCTCAAAACACTCCCAAAATGCCCGAGAACATGCAAAACCACCCCCAAACACCCCAAAACGACTCAAACACCGTAGAATACCCCCAAAAATACCCCAGAACACCCCAAACCTTCCCAAGAATGTCCCAAAAGCACCCCAGTAAGCCCCCAGAACCACCCCAAAACGCCCCCAAATGCCCCAAAATGCCTGAATAAGCCCCCAAACAGCCAAAATGCGCCCAAAACACTATAAATGCCCCATAAGTGCTCCCCAAACACCCTCAAATGCCCCAATAAGCCCTCCAAATGCATCAATAAGCCCCAAGACGCCAA